GGTATTGAAAACTGTTTTATTGTGCCGTTTTTCTACAAACAGCCAGCAGAATTATGAAGATACTCGTTCTCAATACACATGCTGCAAACTAAAGTAATGGCAGTCCTACGAAAATTCTGTTTGTAATGTATAAGCGCTTTATGTCGACGTACAATGGGTGTGAAATACATGTTTTCGCCCATCGTGTGCCACCGGCTCGGTGGTAATTGGCTACTTTACAAGTGAAAGAACCGCGTCCGTGGGCCCTGATAAATTATTCAAATTATTCAGCAGCCCTCTGATTGGTCCCCGCTAGAAATTTACTGGATGTCATTCAGTGACGACGCCCCCCCCCCGGTCTAGGTAGGGTTAAGAGGAAGAGTGTGAAAGGCAGACGAGAAAGGTGAACTGTTTGTTTGTTTGTTTGTTTAATGGCGGCACACTTGTGATGATCAAGCACAGCGCCACCCATGCTTTCATCATGAACCACTTTAAGAGGAAGAGTGTGAAAGGCAGACGAGAAAGGTAAACTGTTTGTTTGTTTATTTAATGGCGGCACACTTGTCATGATCAAGAACAGCGCCACCCATGCATTCATCCTGAACCATCTGAAGAGGAAGAGTGTGAAAGGCAGACGAGAAAGGTAAACTGTTTGTTTATTTCTTTCTTTCTTTAATGGCGGCACACTTATCATGATCAAGAACAGCGCCACCCATACATTCATCCTGAACCACTTTAAGAGGAAGAGTGTGAAAGGCAGGCCAGAAAGGTAAACTGTTTGTTTGTTTGTTTGTTTATTTAATGGCGGCGCACTTATCATGATCAAGAACAGCGCCACCCATACATTCATCATGAACCACTTTAAGAGGAAGAGTGTGAAAGGCAGACAAGAAAGGTAAACTGTTTGTTTGTTTGTTTGTTTATTTAATGGCGGCACCCTTGTCATGATCAAGAACAGCGCCACCCATACATTCATCCTGAACCACTTTAAGAGGAAGAGTGTGAAAGGCAGACGAGAAAGGTAAACTGTTTGTTTGTTTGTTTATTTGTTTGTTTATTTAACGGCGGCACACTTATCATGATCAATGATTTAAGAGGAAGAGTAGAGGCAGACGAGAAAGGTAACCCTTCGAGAAACAACTTGCAATATCAAGATTAGGGAATCGGAATGACTCGGATCATTGCCAACTCGGCTCACCGCAAAACTCGTATTTCCCCAGAACTATCGTAGACTGGAACTCGTTGCCACCAAGCACAGTTGGGGCATCATCACTAGAAAACTTTAAACAACTCCTGCAATCAAATGTGCAAAGATTGAGTATAACAAGCCGTTCGGTGTGATATAGCTAGCTGCCGCCGCGCCGCGTGCCTGCGAAGCTGGTGTGTTACGCCGAAGGGCAGTTATACCGGCTATACCGATACAGAAGCTGGTGTGTTACGCCGAAGGGCGGTTATACCGGCTATACAGATAGAGAAGCTGGTGTGTTACGCCGAAGGGCGGTTATACCGGCTATACAGATACAGAAATCCAGTCAACTGGACCCACCACCCTGGTCAACTCGGCCGAGCAGATACTATTAGTGAACCGAGTCGTCCGACACTCAAACCTTAGGCTAAGCAGGGCCATGTCTGACGTTGTCCTCCGTTTTGCCAACATCTTCCTACATTTCAAAATCCATACCTGCAATAAAATAAATTCATTCATAGTGGAACAGCCCCTAGCTACGTTTACTTAACAGTACTCCAGTCAGAAGCTCTTAGGAAGGTAAGTAAGGTAAGAAGGTTGTGTATAAGGAAGTATTCCCGATGTCTTGTTTCAGGCGGTTCTGGATTGGCCTGGATGACATTAACGACGAGAACGTTTACCTCTGGAACGACGGAACCCCTCTGGGAGCCTTCAACAGGTGGAAGTCCACGGCTCCGCACAAGATCAGGGATTGTGTGACTCTGTGGAAGAAACCCAAGCGGGCCCCTCGTTGGTACATCAAGCCATGCACCAATAGCTACCCGTACATCTGCCAACTGGGTAAGCAAGAAATGGCACGTTTGTGTGTGTGTGTGTGTGTGTTTGTGTTTGTGCGCGCGCAGGCCTGTGTGTGTGTGTTTGTTTGTGCGGGTTCAAGCTTGTGTTTGTATGTGTCGGGAAGACACAGTGTGTGTGTGTGTGTGTGTGTTTGTGTGTATGTGTGTGGGTTCAAGCCAACTTGTGTTTGTGTGTGTCGGGAAGACGAAGTGTGTGTGTGTGTGTGTGTCTGTGTGTGGGGGGGGGTTCACGCTAACTTGTGTTTGTGTGTGTTGGGAAAACGAAGTGTGTGTGTGTGTGTTTGTGTGTGCACCAACAGCTACCTGCACATCTGTCAACTGGGTAAGCAAGACTTTAAGTTATAGCATGTCTGTGTGGCGTAGCGGCAGAGTGCCCGACTCGGAACCGAGAGGTCCCGGGTTCGAGTCCTGACCTGCGACCGACCTTGTGCCCTTGGGAAAGGAACTTAACACGACTTTCATCACTTCGCTCAGGTGAAAATGAGTATTGTACATAATTGGTTAGTATGTATATGCAGAGTAGAGAGGTCAATATCTATGATCTTGACACGCCAATGTTCTATTTCTTACGACCGCTTCTGCCTTTTTCAGGCGTCAGCGGCAGTAAGTAAGGCGGCGCGAGGCAGTGACGTCAGAGCCACAACATCGCCATGACGTCAGAACATCACCATGACGTCAGAACATCACCATGACGTCAGAATATCACCATGACGACAGAACATCACTATGACATCAGAACATCCTGACGACAGAACATTGCCATGACATCAGAACATCACCATGACATCAGAACATCACCATGACGACAGAACATTGCCATGACACTTAGAACATCGCCAACTGACCGACAGACAGACATCACCATCGACATCAGAACATCACCATGACATCAGAACATCACCATGACATCAGAACATCACCATGACGACAGAACCAAATGTTAAAAAACGCACACATGCACGCGTATGCACACGCTCACACACAATATATATTATCCCAAATAAACATGGGATAATAATGCACACACGCTCATACACACATATGCACATGCGCGCACACACACACACAGTCACACACACGCTCACACACACAATATATTATCCCAAATACACATGGGATAATAACGCACACACACACACACACACAGAGCGAGAGAGAGAGAGAGGGAGAGAGAGAGAGGGAGAGAGAGAGGGAGAGACAGAGACATAGTACACATTGCCCCTTATATACTTTAGGCTTTCTTAAGGTGTTATAGTATTATGGATACTTATTTTATTAGTAAGATTTGGGTATTAATTAAGTACTGTCAGTAATTGGTCAGGAGAGTAGGCCGTGGTAAGAGCAACACATTCCCCAAGTGACGGTCAAACTCTCCTGACCAAGTATTGTCAATTTGTTATTATTATAATTTAGCTAGCCTTTTCATGCCTGTAGCCAGGGGGGGTTCGGGGGGTTCTATTGTTTGGGAGGTTCCCCCACAAGGCTCAAAGGTCCACTTTTTGGTCCACTTTTTATGTAAAAGTCCACTTTTTGGTCCACATTTTATGTAAAGGTCCAAGATTTTTCTTGAAAAGATGGACTGGAATCGTAGAAAAACTGCTCCCTTTGTCATTGAATGAAAATTTATCTATTTTTTCTTGGAAATCATCTCAAAAACGCAGGAAATGCCACTTTAGAAGGTTCATTTTTCAAAATTTTCCGGGGGAGCATGCCCCCAGACCCCCCTAGGAACCTCGCGCCTTCGGTGCTCGCCTCACGCCTAGCTATGGCGCTTGAGGTCCCCTCAAGCAGTGGGAAGAACCGCCCCATTCAAATCCTGGCTACGGGCATGCTTTTTATGACTGTACTTTATATATATATAGGCCATGTTGATTTGACTAGGTGGATGACATCCTGTGTCTTGACCTGTTGTCAATGTCAATAAAGAAAGAAAGAAAGAACACCAAAACTGATACGAGCGTGCAAAAGTTTTGCAAAAAAAAAGTTGCCTTCATTATCATAATGAAATAAAGGGGCTCATGATGGTTGAACACATGACAAAACACACGGTTATTGGCATGGTGAGTAATAGACTTCATTTTCATTCCTTCACATTTTCTTCCTGTCCTTTGGAATGGATTTTGGCATCTGCGACCTAAGTATCCTTTCCCAATGTTATTTTTTCAATTTACAGCTTATATGTACTCATTTTGCAGCTATTGCAACAGTACACTATGTGTATGAGCATTTGGTGAAAATAGCCTAAAATATACTCGTGTCTTCCTAATTTTCAGTTGCTTTTAATGATTTTTAAAACCACTCTAAACCAACTAACAGGAATAACTAAAGATAAGTTAGAAAATTTAAGCTTGTTCCAACACAAGGAAAGAACTCGCCATAAATTTTCTGTTGATCCCATCCTCCCGACACTTTTGATGCACTCCTGCGATGACGTCATCACGCTTCCGACTTCCGGAAAGTCATCAGCGATTGCATCGCACATCTGACGAAGGTTGACGGGATCAACCAAAAATTTACAGTGAGTTCTTTCCTAGTGTTGGAACAAAGCTTACTAAACTTTCCAACTATGGATTCTACCAGCAGGTTTTTCAAGGGTTGGTCGGGAAACAGCTTTCATAGAAATAAGATAAAACTTAATACAATACCGGCTGAATGATACTTAAAACCATAATAATTATTATGTATCAACTAACTACTGGTAATGGTTAATACTGCGGGCTGAAAAATATATTTGACTAACACCAAAAAAATGAAAAATAAAATTGGTGAAGGGAATTTGTTTGTCTGTGTTTATTTTCTCACACTCACATAATATGTTTAAAGATGACCATATCCATGAAAAATGGAGGTATTATTTTTGGCGCGTCTGTGTGTGTGTGTGTGTCTGTGTGTGTACGTGTATGTGTGTGTGTGTGTGTGTGTGTGTGTGTGTGTGTGTGTGTCTGTGTGTGTATGTGTGTGTGTGTGTTTCCGCACATTTGTAGTCAGCATAACTTCAGAACGTGATATTTGGTATGCTGGTAGGTCTTAGGAAGCCGAAGGTCAAGGTCAAATATGGGCCTCCTGGTGGCTGACCGTCTTCCTAAAATCTTTGTAGTTGACTAGTATAAGGAAAAATTAATGTTAGTTTTTAACTTTATCAAAATTGTACAAGCAAGCAAGTAAAAATTAGGTTTAGCTTTTGTTACTCCGTGAAGGAGGTCAGGACCTCCGGACGGAGTGTTGTAATCGGCTGATTTTTCATGTTCGCAGTCAAAACACTGGGTTCTCTTCGTGTAATCGGCACGCAATTTTATACGCCGTCTGCGGGCATGCCCGTGTTGATGCACGAATGTGTATTTTTGCCGTTGCTGCTTTCGCGGTCAATGTAATATCGCAGACGCACCCCTACAATTACGAGGCGAATTGGAACGGTCCAGAAAAACGCGTTGTTTGGAATAGCGGGGGGGGAGGTAAAAGTTCATGCAGATACGGGGTGGTTTTTATAAGTGGTTCCAGATGTTTTTGCCCATGGTTAAGAGATGCCAAGTTTTTTGGAAGATGTTCGCAGCCAAAACGCATTCTGCCGTACGTCGCATATCTGTGTAATTTCGCATGTGGTGTTGCATTATGTCCGGGATGATGCACGTCTTTTTATTTTACCGTAGCTGTTTTGATATTGGAGTAAATGGTTATTTTCGAAACATCCCTACTTTTACAATCCTGTGGAATAGACCGTAGGTTTAGGCAGTTGTCTGGTAGCAGAGGTACTGTAAGCAGATATCCTGGTTATCTGGCCGGCGGTAGTAACACTCGCGGTGCTTACCGCCACTGTTGCTGGAATTTGGCTTGTTCCAGGCGCGCTTAATTAGGTACAGGCACCGTAAGACGGTGGGGCTGTCTTTGTTACTAGACACGACCATGATAGTCCGATCTTTATGTGAATGCAATGATTGTGTGTGTGTAATTAAAATGAAGTTAGAACTTGAAGCACAGTATCTTTACACGCCCTGGGAGCAGTAATGGATTTAGCTCTTTGTATGTTTTATGCTTGTGACGCGCCCTCATTGTATTAACCGTTGCCTAATTATAATGTCTGCACAGTAGGTCTGGCGTTGACGCTTGGGATTTTGTTGAAATATATAAAACTTCACGGAGAATTGTCACCTATGGCTTCTTGTTTTATTTTTCAAACAAAGGATTGTCTCTCATTCTCTCATATCCAAGATATTAACTAATAATACAAATTTACATGATGTATAACATTCTTTCTCAAACTAAAGATGTCAATCATGTCAAAGACCTGCTCTGATTGGTCCAATTCCCCCCCCCCCCACTAGTCTGTCATTGGAAACCTCTGTCTGATACGAATCTGTCAATCATGTCAAAGACCTGCTCTGATTGGTCCAATTTCGCCCGCTGGTCTGTCATTGGAAACCTCTGCCTGACACAAATCTGTCAATCATGTCAAAGGCGCGCTCTGGTTGGTCAAAAGGAAGAATATGGCCGCCACCCTTGACAATCACCTGCAAACAGAACAACACGGAAAAAACTTGAATGTGAATCTTCAGTCCATGATTCTCATAATATCATCCCTAATAATAAACTTAGCTGGTTGCTACCAACTTTCTATTGCTTAGGGTGTAAGGCAGCAGCGCAAGGTTTAAAAGATCTCACCTCTTAGAAGTTTCCGACCTGCCTGACGAAGCTGGTCATCTTAGCGTTTAAAGGGTTAACCTTTTTAAGTTTCCACAGTATTCCGTATGGCCATATCCACACTTATACTGGTTACGGTGTAAGGCAGCAGCGCAAGAGTTAAAAGTCTCACCTCTTAGAAGTTTCCGACGTGCCCGACAAAGCCAGTCATCTTAGTGTTTAAAGGGTTAACCATTTTAAGTTTCCATTGACAGTATTCGCCTTAGTCACACTTATACTGGTTACGGTGTAAGGCAGCAGCGCAAGGGTTAAAAGTCTCACCTGGTAAAAGTTCCCGACCTGCCTGACAAAGCCAGCCACCTCGGTATCTGAAGGGTTAACCTTCCACACGGTCCTGTCCGTTTTCTGGTACTGCTTCAGTCCGGACCAGGGAAGACTCCACAGGAAGTTTTCCGTCAGCGGAGCTCCGACTATGATATCCAGCTGGCCGTTGTAGATCAACACCTGTAAGAATAGACGAACTGGAAATATAAGTCAATTGTTGTTCTGCACATACAGTTCTAAAAAGCACTCTGCATAGGTACAATTTGGGGGTATTTCTCATGCAACGCATCAAACCGCAGCGAAACGCAACAAATGCGGAAGTAACTATGCCACTGCAGGGCAAAATGGGGGTCTATGATCTAATTAAGACATGAAATTATTTGTAAAAATTATGCCAGGAATGCCAGCAGGACAAGGGTTAAAGGCATCCAGTGCAGTTTTTAGGGCTTGGAAACCCGATTTTTCAAAGCCAATATTCTTAGACTAGTAGGTTACTAAGTTGAAACCACACTATCCCAATGTATACTGACCCTTATGGAGCAAAAATTCCCAAAATTCTGACGGAAAATGGTTACTGGAAGGGCCCTAGGCTGATTTTTAGGGTACTACCCAGAAAATAAAGGACTCGTCTTGGGGCTTGTTTCATCGAATGACCTTGTAGTTCTCCAAGATGGCTGCCTGTGACTCTTGGGGATTCCCATTTCATTCCAGTGTTGGAAGTAAAGTTTCTTCTTTATTTCATAATGACTTGTACCAGCACAGATGAACTTTCATGCAAAAAAAATAAAAGAAATCTGAAAATGTTCCGTGACCTTGTAGTTCTCCAAGATGGCCGCCACCCATGGCTTGACAGACTGCAGGAAGTCTCCCAGCAGGTGTTCCTCGACCTCTGACCCATCGTGGAAGGTCAGGTTTCCCACGTGGATGGCTTTTCTCACCTCAGGTCTGGCCAGGTAGTCCACATAGTAGCCCTGCTGTGCTGGTTCCTGATTAAACACAAATATCAATGGACCTATCACATCATTACGTCACGCAATGAATGCCGGTCAATCGCGTTAGCCCTGATATTAAGGCTTTTAATACAGTACTACTTTCGTCTAATTTTCGCTAGCAGGTTTTTCAAGGGTTGGTAGGGAAACAGGAAACACAACATTTTTTTCCTCAGGCCTTACCTCTGTTCTGACGTAGTTGTAATGGTCATTGCTTCCTGTGATGTTATAGAAGTAGGACATGTTTCCAAGCAGCATGGTCTCAAATGTCTGAAACAACAAAAACAACAGGGTATGGAATTTTCTTCTTACACAACCAGTAAACGTTCTCACCAGTTACGTTTCGATGTCTTTCAGACTATCCGCTATTTATGGCCGAAGTAGGTGGCGCTTTTGCAGAACTCCAGTCAGAAGCTCTGAGGAAGGTGTCTGATAGACATTGAAACGTATTACTGGTTGTGTAAGAAGAAAATTCTATACCCTAAGTATCTTCCAACCTGATGAAATTACATGTATTTACGGAACAAAAACAACAACGAAAGCAGGTTTAATTAAACAAGATGCAAAACTCTTAGCTTGAAAGTTTACCTGACATCTGAGAGGACGTACCAACTCGAAGCTTAGGGTACTCATTTACACCTATTTCGTAAAGTGAGGAAAGTCCTGCAAACTTTAAAGTGCCTTTCCCAAGGGCAGAAGAACTTTGACATGGCAGGATTCAAACATGGGACCTTTTGGTTCTGAGTCAAACACGCTACTGAATGCAACACGACCCTAGCTTTAATTGTACCTTAAACGCTCCCAGGAAGTCTTCCTCCACAATCTGAGCCCCAAGGACGTCCACAAACGCCCCGATTCTCAACCTCTGAGGCTCATCTGCCAGCCCGATGTGGTACAGGAACTCCGGCAACTTTGCATATTGCTGCAGAAATCCACGATTTAAAAACTTACACAATACAGCTTAACAAAGTATTAATAAACTTGCATGAGGACAAAATATAATTTTTCAATGTCAATGATAGAAAACCAACTGTACAACATTTCATCACTCAGGTGTCAGATCATGAAGCTAGAAAAGGTGCATCAGCTTGAAAAACTTAATAATATTAATAATATCCCTTAGGCCACACCAATTTAATTTCTTGGTTAACGGATTCGCCCGCTTCTTTTTTTTCTGATTTGGAAATAAAAATAAAAATTCAGAATCAACTGCAAAATGCTCATATTTTGCCCTGAACAGTTGAAAACAGTCCTTTTTATCCTAGTTGTTACAGTTATTCCATCTTTCAATGCAACGGTATCGTTAAAAGTTCAAAATTCATTGTTTAAATTTTGAACCAACCTGGTGTGTTGACTTCATGGCTCCTATCGTACCATTTTGGGCCATAATAGGATGCCTAGGCCTGTTTTTATTTTTACTTTTTTTTCGCCCGCCCGCTCCATTATTTTTCTAGAAAAATCTGTTAACCAAGAAATTAAATTGGTGTGGCCTTACAGAGATCCACCAAAAAAAATGCTAGGGTTGGTAATTTTTTCTAGGGTCAGTCCGGAAACAGCACACATTTTTTTTCTAAGTATGCTCTTCTTACTTACAGTTAGTGGATCACACAGACCATCTCCGATGGCCATGCCTTTAAAGTTGATCTTGAACTTGGCTGTCGGGTTTTTCAAGTGGATCTTGTAGCTCAGCGCCGGAACATACTTCCCTGCATAGGACTGGGACAAAAAAACTTCTTACTGAATATTTATTGGCAGTTTCTGTATCTGTATCTGTATAGCCGGTATAACTGCCCTTCAGGATAACACACCAGCTTCTGTATCTGTATCGGTATTGCCGGTATAACCACCCTTCGGCATAACATACCAGCTTCGCAGGCACGCAGCGCGGCAGCAACTAGATATATCACACCATACAATTTGACAGTGTATCTAGTAAAGTCAAATTTAACTGTATCTGTAACATGATACTTATACGTTGCATAAGTGAAAGTTAGACATCCAGGTAATATGCCAAAAACCAGTTACTCAATTACAAGCAACTGGATATGATTTTGGAATTACTTTCAAATTGTTACTTTCCAAAATCATATCCAGTTGCTTGTCAGTACCTGTTTTTTTCTTATGATAACTATACCTTGTAACAGAAATCAAAACGTTTTTGAATTATAGGGGAAAATATCACAAAGTATGAAACAGCCTGTTAAAGTTCAAACATGGGCTCTTATTCTTAAATCAACTTTAGAGGTTAATCGTTTAACACAAAGTAAGAGTCTTTCATACCTCTCCTGTTACATAGAACTCATTCTTCTGGTAGTCTGGGTAGATTTGGAAAAACTGCAACAGAGCACTGAAAAAGGTTCAGGAATCTAATCAGGCTATTATTCTTTAGTACAAGGTTGCAACTTCACCTTATTTGATATAGATAAATGAGCCTATGGATGACATCCTCTGGGAACCCAAAACTGATGTGAGCGTACGAATAAAAAGTAGTTTCCTTTTATATGAAATCTGCATGGTCATAAAGGTTGAACAAATATTAACTAAACACACAGAGTATGGTATGGCGAATAATGATAGACTCTTTGTTTTCATTTCTTCACATTTCATTCTTTCCTGAATTGATTTCGACATTCTATGTCCATTGACAGAAGTATCCTTTTCAAATACTTTTATTGCAACATATGACATATATTCACCGATTTTGTACAATTTACAGAATGGTCGAAAAACTTTTTTTTTGGAAATTCATGCGTGCGCGGATGTCATCCATATACTAGTAATCAAATCAACATGGACTTACTTACTTGTACAAGTTGTCTGCAATGGCTGTTTGGTTTCTAGCATATCCAGCGTCGGACTCAGTAAAGCTGAATCCTGTTCCAACCTATGTACAGAACCACAGTCATGATCATTAAATTGTCATTTTTTTTTACATCTGTGAAGGTTAGACATCCAGGTAATAAGATATGCCAAAAACAGTTACTCAAGCAACTGGATATGTTTTTGAAAATGGTCAGATGTTTCAGGTAGCATCTACATGTCGTCAGTGACACTGAATACATTTTCTGTAACATTCTGTTACTGGCAGCCGTGAAGCTTCTCAAAGCCATGCTAAACGCAGACCATCCCCTCCATGACTTGGTGGAGGGACTGACGAGCACGGGGAGACCCTTAAGGAACGCGGGTGGACTCAGGGTTCCCATGGCAAGAACCTCCAGACTGCAGAGGTCATTTCTGCATCAAGCCATCAGACTCTCTAATAATCAATAGCAGACCTAGTGTTGTTTTTTTATGTTGTACATACTGTAATTGTTATGAATCTGTATGTCCTGTTTGTACCCTCGTTGTATATGTAATGGTCAGCGCAATTCAGCAGTCCATATTGTTCTTTATGTACTGCTGCTAGGCTGACCACTGTTTGAATAAAGAATAAAGAATAAAGAATTTAATAGATGCAACAAAACCATCATACATGCAGAACCATGACAGCAACTCAGCATCTATGCTGAATGAAGCTGCCAAGTATTTTAGTGTGAAAATGAAGCGATTATAAACACCCATATCATGCCCGTAGCCAGGGGGAGTTCGAGGGGCTCAAAGGTCCACTTTTTGGTCCACTTTTTATCGAAAGGTCAAAGATTTTTCTTTAGATGGACTGACTCGTATCACCAGTGGGGCTGGAATTGTACATAACTGCCTATATAAACTTTGCCATTGAATAAAAAGTTATCTCTGATTTTTTTTTCTTTGAAATCCTCACAAAAATGCATGAAATGCCATTTCAGAAGGTTCATATTTCAAAATCCCTAGGAACCCGTGCCTATGGCGCTCGCTGGTCCCTCAAGCATTCAAAATCCTGGCTACGGGCATGCATATCAATATTAATACATACTGGATTGTCGATGAACAGCATGGAATACTCAGAAACCCAGGTTGTCTTTCTCAACATTACTGCAACCAAAATAGTGAAGACTTTGTCATATCACCATAGGTTTGTGGTGAAACATAAGGCATGCTGATAAAACTGAGATATAAAATAGAGGCAAGTGAACTATTTTTCGCACAGCTGATAGTACAGTCACTGTGGTTTTGTCACTAGTGCTTTAGTTTTACCCAAGATACCATGACAGCTAGACCACTACTCTTGTTAATTGATACAGGTGCTCTTTTTTTTGCAGAAAGAAATTTGATGCCTAAAGCTTACAAATGTATGGGACAAAAGAGGAGAGAGAGAGAGAGAGACAGAGGGAGAGAGAGAGAGAGAGACAGACAGACAGACAGACAGAGAGAAAACAGCATAATTTCATTTCATATATCTATTTGCATCAATAAAAAGACAAACATTAATCAACAAATATGCAAAACAAAGGAAAAAACTGTGAGCAGGAGGAGGAAAGAAGCCTACAAGGCTTTTACAACATCCTCCTCCTTGGAACTTAGGAAATATTAACCATGACATAACAACTATATAATAATAGTATCCTTTTTTTCTAATATAAGGTAGTCTGACTGTGACTTATTTTATCGACCTCTGACCTCCAAATGTGTTATTTTAGATGTGTACATATATTTACTCGGCTAATTGGAATGATATAGGTTCTTATGATCATTTTTTTTGTAATTTCACACTGTTGATATTATGTGCCCTATATGTTTTGTCCTTATGTGTTGACTCTCTAACATCAGCTTTGCTGCCTTGAGAGTCAGTGTAATGTCTTGTTGCATTTTCAATAAATAAATAAATAAACTATATAATGCACTATAGCCATACTAGTAACTAATAATAACTCACATTCAGCATCCTTGGTGATATAAAATGGTCCCATCTCAGAAAACAGTCCAAACATACTGGACCCTCCCGGCCCTCCTTGTAACCACAAGAGGACAGGTGCACTCTCTGAATCAGACTGGAGATGGATCAAACTGTAACTACCAATAACTTAAGGGCGGTGAAGGTCACACATCCAGGTAATATTTGATACGTTACTCTGAAGATCATTTCAAAGTTTTCAAAGTCAGGTAGGTTTGATTTTTGCTGCATCTAGTTTTGTTGACACAGCATTACATGCCGTAATGGGTGCCTTAGTTGTGACATTAGATGAAAGTAGTACTGTATTAAAAGCCTTATATTAAGGCTAACGCGTAACACAAATACACACCGCGCTACACACCCTTGTACAATATAAACGACGATTGACTGGCATTCATTGCGGTAAACAAACTGTGACGTAATAATGTGATAGGTTCATTAAATACGTATGTGCAGGGTTTTACCAAGTATTTACATGTATTATTGAATCTGTGTGGAGATTACTGAAAGTACTGACCAGGGCAGGGAAGAACCAGAAGAACAGGTTACTGTTGTGGGTTTTGTTGACAGTCAGGTAGCCGGAGTAGCTGTTGACTGTTGTTTCGGGGAGGTTTACCTCACTCAGCATTCGAGCTAAACACACAAACAAACAAACAAACAAACAAACAATTTAATGATTACATACACTTGTGTGATCTGCAACAAGCCCTGCAGAAGCAGGCCTGGGCTAGCTGCACACCGCCAGGCCCACAAACTGTGAACTGATCGTCCGACAGGATGAAAAGGACTATGATGATGATGACTACTAGTAAAAGATCCAATACATATATATTCTGCCTTTCCCCTTCAGTGATTATTATGTGTAATAAGAATGAATGAATGAATGACTGACTGAATGAAAGATTAGAGCGAAAGAATGAATGAATGAATGAGCGAATGAAGATTAGAAAGATCAGGGCAAAATATTAAGCTCTTCAGATCCACTTGAGGGTCAGATCCACCTCTGACCCTTGACTTACCATTAACCTTTGTACCTTTTACCTCTGACCCTTGACCCACCTTTCTCCGCCATGCCCTGTTCCAAATAGGGAGTGAGGAAGAGCGGGTCTCCGTAGTCTCGACCGGGCTGGATATTGTGGTGCACCCTGGGAAACATGGCGCGGAACGGGCCGACGCCACTCCAACCTTGACCCGCTGACTGGGAGGTCATCAAGGTCGCAAGAAGGACAAGGACTTGCCAGTTTCTTTGTGGCTGCATCTTTCCTCTGATTGTACAATGTAAAACTGTTACATTTGAAGATTAAAACTTAGCAATTAATATTTAACTATATACTGCTGCATTATTATCTTAATATCATTATTTATATGTCTGCAATATACAACTAAATATGAAATATCAATCAATGAGTCAAGTATAACGTTATTTACAAAGGAAGTAAGCTTAGTTCATGGATATAAACGTTAAGTTAATTACATGTAGGAGTTCAGTACCTGATAATCTGTGGCCCTTATCATAACTTTTTAAGTGAAAAATGATTATCCTCAATAAAATATTCGAAGAACATCGTGTGCCTTCCTTTAGGAGGGTTAAACTTATACTTGTCACATGTTTTGCGACACTTTCAAGTAACACAAACAGAATGAATGAAGAAGGACTTACTTTAACTTACCCTGGGTGCCAGAACTCGTTTTTTGGGCGGCAAGACCCCTGAGCCTAGTCTAGCGCGGGGGGAGTTTGGCCACCCTTCCAAACTAGTTCTAGGGCCGGACAAACCCCTCGGGCTCAACTCCCCCGAAGCGGGCGAAGGGCTCTTGACTGCCTAAAAGGAAAACGGCTAACGGCCCGATACTACTAGTTTGGCACCCAGGGTAACTTTACTCTGCCCCGCCCCCCTCCCCATTCTACCCATTTTATGACCTTTTACCGTCCGAAATCACGACATTGACGAAGTATATTCGACTTTAAATACCCGAATTATCTCTCTACTTTGACGTAACTTTCACGGTAACGCCGAACTTACCTGTTGTTGTCACGCCGTGTTTGTATTCCGTGACCCCAAACTTCGGTAGGAGATCTAAAATATCTTAGTATCCTACCGAAGTTTATTGGTATCCTACCGAAGTTTGGGGTCACGGAATTTCCTTCCACTACTTTGTGGTCCCTACTTTGTCCAAGTGTACATGTTGTTTTTCAACAAACCGTTCAGCTTATAATGAAATCCTCCGTAAGTTATAACCATTTAGTCGGCTACTTTATTTTTGTGGCCTTTAGTTTGTAGTGTTGTTCACCTTTAGCTTGTAGTTCACACATCTACCGCTAGATGTCGCCGTTACATATTGGTTAACGTTAGATTACTGCATTAACGCTAGCTTTGTCCTTTGGATTCAAGCGTTTCTAGATAACCAAACGTTTAATATACTCTGGTAGTAGGAATTATGTATTCAAATAAGTTTGTGACTTAATAGAAAAACATTTTTATGGATTCCAAATTCAAAGTAGCCAGCAGCATTGGATGTCATTTTCAGTACTAAGGACAACCTCAAGAAACAACAAGGTTAGTGCATTCTAAAAGTGACAGTACTTAGTTTGCTGGTTGTAAATCACCTAGGATGAGCAGGGTAGTGTGTGTATTGGGACTCACAGCAAAACACATTTACACACATACTCGCAAGCACTCACACATATACGTACACACACACACACATGCACACACAAACACGCGCGCGCGCGCGCACACACACATTATTATAACACACACGCACACACACACACACACACACACACACACACACACACACACACAAGCCTTATCTCTGTCAATAGTCTGTAATTCTTGCCTTTATTTCAAAACAGCAGATTTGTGCACTAAAATAATTACATTCTTCATAATTTCATGTCAACATATGCATATATTTGATTGTTGAAATGTCATAAATCATTTCTCCTCAAGAAAACATCAATCATGTGACAGCTCTTTTCTGATTGGTCCCCAGTCTGTCATTGGAAACCTCTGCCTGACACAAATCTGTCAATCATGTCAAAGGCGCGCTCTGGTTGGTCCAATTTTCCCCACTAGTCTGTCATTGGAAACCTCTGCCTGACACAAATCTGTCAATCATGTCAAAGGCCTGCTCTGATTGGTCCAATTTCCCCCGCTAGTCTGTCATTGAAAACCTCTGCCTGACACAAATCTGTCAATCATGTCAAAGGCCTGCTCTAATTGGTCCAATTTCCCCCGCTAGTCTGTCATTGGAAACCTCTGCCTGACACAAATCTGTCAATCATGTCAAAGGCGCGCTCTGATTGGTCCAATTTCCCCCGCTAGTCTGTCATTGAAAACCTCTGCCTGACACAAATCTGTCAATCATGTCAAAGGCGCGCTCTGGTTGGTCGAAAGGAAGAACCACTGTTGAGGCTACTGTGTATTTCTTGATAAGACAGCTCTGTCAGCCTAAAGTCCCCAGAAATATGCATGGATCTCCTATTCACCCATTACGATAAGTAATGAACTTGAGCTCCGATGACAGCTGAGCCTCCATTGTTTGGTTGTCAAGTCCAAAGTTGGCACCCCGGCAGACTGTGACGTATAACTGGTCGCAGCTGGGCAGGGACGGTTTGACAATTATGGGGGCAGCTAAACATGGCAAAGGCATATCATGGGCAGTATGCCCAGTTTGTTTGTGTTTCGCCAATCATGGTTGGATGACTTCATATCTGAGAGCCAACCTTTTCTCTGTAGACTCATACTATGTGGTAATATAAATATTGTGCAAAAATGTAAAAATTGTTTAGTGTGATCAGTCATGTTAGTTACTGGATTCTCCAGGTGTTTTCTGAAAAAAAATGATGGATGCGCATAGAGATTTGTCTCACTAAAGGTTGTCTTTTGTCTAGGTTTTTCCTCAGATTAGTGGTAATATTAAATTGTTAAACACATCACAATGTTTTTATAAACAATTGAGTGCAATAATTTGAATAATAAATGTCTGTAGTTGATTTAACAATTAAATCTCATAATTGGAAAGTTATTCATCTTGATAACAATTAACTCTCAATTTACTGTGAAAGGTTTGTATTCCAATAAACCAGCCTGCAAGTTGAGCAAGTAAAATCCTGGACTTCTGGAAAGGATTTTCTACAGGAAGAATGATCCCTATGGGCAACGTCGTTATTTTCTGTCAAGCACATGTGGAGGNAACTTTCACGGTAACGCCGAACTTACCTGTTGATGTCACATCACATGTTCGACGCGGGTCACGCCATGTTTATATTGTTGGTCTCCCACCGAAGTTTGGGGGTCACGGAATTTGCGTGGCCCGTTTCCCTTCCACTACTTTGTCCAAGTGATTTTTTCGAGCAAGTCGTTCAGCTTACAACGAGATCCTCCGTAAGTTATAATCATTTAGTCGGCTACTTTATTTTTGTGGCCTTTAGTTTGTATTGTTGTGCACATTTAGCTTGTAGTTCACACAACCACCGCTAGATGTCGCCGTTAGATTAATTACTCCATAAACGCTAGCCTTTCCTTGGATTTAAGTTTGTCTAGATAACCAAACGTTTAATATACTCAGAACATTAATATAACAGAAAAAAGTTTTTATTTGGATTCCAAAGTCAAAGTAGCCAGCAGCATTGGATGCCATTTTCAGTACTAAGGACAGCCACAAGAAACAGTAAGGTTAGTGCATTCTAAAAGTGACAGTACTTAGTTTGCTGGTTGTAAATCACCTAGGATGTAGCAGGGTAGTGTGTGTATTGGGACTCACAGCAAAACACATTTACACACATACACGCAAGCACTCACACATATACGTACACACACACATGCACACACAAACACGCGCGCGCGCGCGCACACACATTATTATAACACACATGCACGCACACACACGTACGCACACACGTACGCACACACACACACACACTCGCACACATAGGCACGCACACACAAATACAGACGCACGCACACACACACACAAGCCTTATCTCTGTCAATAATCTGTAATTCTTGCCTTTATTTCAAAACAGCAGATTTGTGCACTAAAATAATTACATTCTTCATAATTTCATGTCAACATATGTATATATTTGATTGTTGAAATGTCATAAATCATTTCTCCTCAAGAAAACATCAATCATGTGACATCTCTTTTCTGATTGGTCCCCAGTCTGTCATTGGAACCTCTGCCTGACACAAATCTGTCAATCATGTCAAAGGCGCGCTCTGGTTGGTCCAATTTTCCCCACTAGTCTGTCATTGGAAACCTCTGCCTGACACAAATCTGTCAATCATGTCAAAGGCCTGCTCTGATTGGTCCGATTTCCCCCGCTAGTCTGTCATTGAAAACCTCTGCCTGATACAAATCTGTCAATCATATCAAAGGCCTGCTCTGATTGGTCCAATTTCCCCCGCTAGTCTGTCATTGAAAACCTCTGCCTGACACAGATCTGTCAATCATGTCAAAGGCGCGCTCTGGTTGGTCGAAAGGAAGAACCACTGTTGAGGCTACTGTGTATTTCTTGATAAGACAGCTCTGTCAGCCTAAAGTCCCCAGAAATATGCATGGATTTCCTATTCACCCATTACGATAAGTAATGAACTTGAACTCCGATGACAGCTGAGCCTCCATTGTTTGGTTGTCAAGTCCAAAGTTGGCACCCCGGCAGACTGTGACGTATAACTGGTCGCAGCTGGGCAGGGACGGTTTGACAATTAGGCCATGTTGATTTGATTATATGGATGACATCCTCCGGGAGCCCCAAAACTGATGCGCGCGTGCGAATAAAAAAAAAGTTTTGACAAAAAAAAAGTTGTTTTCATTATGAAATGTACGTGGTCTTGAGGGTTGAACAAATGGGACAGAATATGGTTTGGCGAATAATCTAATCTTCAACTTCATTTCCTTACAATTTCGTCTTTTTTTCGTTTGATTTTGGCATTCTACGACATTGGTATAGTTTTTTACTTATTTTTTTTTAACTTACGGTATATTTTTGCTCATTTTTTGCAACTGTTGTACGATTTACAGTATGGTTGAAAACTTTTTTTTTTGGAAACGGCCGAAAATTCATGCGCGCGCAGATGTCATCCATATAATCAAATCAACATGGCCTTATGGGGGCAGCTAAACTTGGCAAAGGCATATCATGGGCAGTATGCCCAGTTTGTTTGTGTTTCGCCAATCATGGTTGGATGACTTCATATCTGAGAGCCAACCTTTTCTCTGTAGACTCATACTATGTGGTAATATAAATATTGTGCAAAAATGTTAAAATTGTTTAGTGTGATCAGTCATGTTAGTTACTGGATTCTCCAGGTGTTTTCTGAAAAAAATGATGAACGCGCATAGAGATTTGTCTCACTAAAGGTTGTCTTTTGTCTAGGTTTTTCCTCAGATTAGTGGTAATATTAAATTGTTAAACACATCACAATGTTTTTATAAATAATTGAGTGCAATAATTTGAATAATAAATGTCAGTAGTTGATTTAACAATTAAATCTCATAATTGGAAAGTTATTCATCTTGATAACAATTAACTCTCAATTTACTGTGAAAGGTTTGTATTCCAATAAACCAGCCTGCAAGTTGAGCAAGTAAACTCCTGGACTTCTGGAAAGGATTTTCTACAGGAAGAATGATCCCTATGGGCAAACGTCATTATTTTTCTGCAAGCACATGTGGAGGAAAAGGCTGTCAACATGCATGTACTACAATGTAAATTCAAATCACACTGACATCAGATTCAACATCCAGAAGTCTCCTAAAATGTCAGATGTACCATTATAACACTGGAACCCCCCCACGCAGACCCAGAAAAGGGTAAATAGGGTTTATACCACAGGAAGAAGTTTCCCTCTGGACTGTACAGTGTCAGCCCCCATGACGCATCTATCATGGTAAGATGTCCCACGCACAAGCCAAGTTCCCTTGTTGTCCTGGCCGTGTGATTCACACCAGGGACTTGGTGCTGTTTAGTCTGGCAGGGTTCCTAACATACTGCTGGACAAAGTAGACAGTTAGAAACTACCAGCAAAGGCAGACTTTAGACCCTACCAGTACTTTTTCATGGTAAGTGTATCGTTACCATAGTCTCTATTGGGTGTTTTGGAACATGTGTGATCATATTTATGTGTCTCTGTACTCCCCAAATGTGCATTAACTTCAGTTGTCAGCTGCTAGAGCAACTGTGAGGTTAGATCTGAACTATTTCCGAACGACGAGACATCCTAATTGTAAGTGTGGCTAGTGAGTGCCCCACTTCCAACGTTGTCCCTGCCTTCATTTTATACAATTTGTATATAGTATTGTGAGTGAATGTTTCCTGTATAATGGTTATACTGCTGTCAAAAGTTCCAATGTTCATGATTTATAACAGGAGCTCCAGCCCTGCTTCAAGATTTGTTTGGTTAATGTGAAACCCTGTCTTCCCTGCAGGTTGCCAGCCCTGGGAGATCTAGCCTGGGTACCAAACCTTTGGTCGGCTTGGCGGTAATTTTTCGGCCCCGGCCTTTACCAAGCCAAGGCGAGTTATACCCTATCTCCTGCTGTTCCCCTGTATCCGCTGACTCCCTGTATTACGCTTGGTCTTCTTTTGCCGCCGACCCGTTGTGAGCGAAGAAACCTAAACCCCGCCGAAGCGCGGTAATTTAGTCCTGGTTGGCGGGCCCAGACGATCTCGCCGCCGAAGGGATAGCGCTGAGCTCACGGCGGTCTGGTTACCAGGTCAAGGGATATCTCCCACTGACTGACCCAGATAGAAAGAGCCAAGGTAAGCATCATCCTGGATCAAACTAATTGTGTTCTTTGGACTAGAAAGTTACACAAATGTAGTTGATTTAGGAAAGATGGGATTTAGACAGGAGAAGTTCTGCTGACTCCATAGTGTTGAATTACTAACTAGTCCACCATTGCTAGTAACCATGCTGAAGTGAAGTGAAGACATTACTGACTAGTCCACCATTGCTAGTAACCATGCTGAAGTGAAGTGAAGACTTGGGCTCTGTCCAAGTCATCTGACAAACCACGCGGGAGACCGCCCCATACGGGGGAGCCATATTCTAGCACCGGGCGGGTGAAAGACTTGTAGATTTGCAGGAGGACAACTTAAGGTAAGCCAGCACGTCGTGCAACCCGCAGGTAATGTATGCGTGGCTCAACCTTTGACAACGTATACTCGACATGTGGGCCCCATGTAAGGTCATTACTGACAACTACTCCAAGGAGCTTAAATGAAGAGACTCTCTCCACAGGTTCGCCCCTTAACGTAAGTGGAGGGCGTATTAGTGGATTTCGACGGCAACTAATGACCATGTCTTTGGTCTTTCCTGCGTTCGACTTCATTCCATACGAGTCTGCCCATGGGTCTACACTGTCAAGTGAGACTTGCATTTGTCCGGGTAAAGATGCCATCAAGAATTCCGAGTTTGTGAGATCATCCGCGTATTTCACAGGCGTAATGCTGGGCGGGATCCCAGAATCAAGGTCGTTCATAGCGATGACAAAGAGTGTTGGTGAAAGAATTCCCCCCTGGGGTGTGCCTGCGAGAACGGCTTTAGCTACAGAGATGCTCGTTCCCCATCTCACACGTTGAACACGATAACTCAGGTAGCTTGTTTAAAGTTAAAACTTTTGATCCAACACGAAAATTCTCTCACCTAGAGCTTTCAACCAGTCACTCTGGTTTTCCTCAGTAGACTGACCCAGTGAAGCTGTCACGTGGCTTCTTTGAAGTGTGACGTCAACACTGGGTCAAAGGTATCTGGTAGACGATGTCGGCCCCCGTCGCGGTTCAATGTAGGGTGATGGGCCCTGATGTAAATGGCTTCCTTCACCCCTCTCAAGAAATAGTCTTGTTCGGTGTCTAAAATCCTTACAGTGTCAAGTGAAACATGGTGTCCGGGTGACTCTATGTTAATGTGTTGTGACAACTCTGAACTGGCAGAGCTAGGCCGTGTATGTTCCTGAAACCTGGCTTTTAGAGACCTCTCTGTTTCCCCAATATAGGTGAGAGAATTTTCGTGTTGGATCAAAAGTTTTGACTTTCAACATGTAACTACCAACACAGATGAACTTTCATGATAGTAACTCAGGTAGCTGTTCAGACACCGCCATAAGTCGTGTCTTAACCCCAATGCGTGACAAACTACGGAGGTGACCACCATGATCTATGGTGTCAAACGCGCGCGTGAGATCCACAAACGCTGCATGCACGTCCATTTTGGGAGAACTGTTAAGTGCATCAAACCACGATTGCGTCGTTTCGATGAGCGCCCATACTGTTGAGCGACCCCGTCTGAACCCATGCTGAGAATCATGGATCAGGTGATTCGTGTCCTGCAGCAAGAGGTCCCGTAGAAACACTTCAAACACTTTACCGATGCAACTTGTCAGGGAAATCCGTCTGAATTCCTCCGGGCCTTTAGGCCTAGGCGTCTTGGGCACCGGTACCACCAGTTCCTCTTTCCACTGCGAGGGGAAGAGACCCTGTTGTAGACACGCGTTAAAAATATTGCACAGTACGGGTGCGAGTTCTTCGTAGAAGTTGGATAGTAGCCATGGCGGGATGTTGTCTCCCCCTGTAGCCTTGTGAGGATTCACCCTTTTCAGTTGTAGTTTTACCTGCCCTATGCTTAGTGCAATAGCTCAATTGGTAGAGTGCTCGCTTTGTAACCGGGAGGTCGTGAGTTCAAACCCCGGCCTGGTCATACCAAAGACTTTAAAAATGGTCAACACCTCTTTCTCTGCTTAGCACTCAGCACATATATGAGAAAGAGTGTGGGAAGGTCAAACACACAGCACTACCAGCGGACCAGCCCCCTGCTGTTGTGCATTGCACAACTGTGTGTCGCCCAAGGGCTACAGAAATGGAGATGGGCACCACCCTACGCGCTGCGTAAGAGCATGGGAGACCTTTCTTATGCTTAGTTCCCATGTCACCATGATACATGTATGTAGGTTAGATTAGGCGTGTCATTGATAATCATGTGTACAAGCACTGGCGTGATATTGATTTCGAGCGTCCGAAAAGGATCTTGAAAGATCCCTCCCACCCCTGCCACGCTTTCATTCACCCGACTGAGGAACCGCGTTATGAACTAAGACGCAGATCACAGTACAAACTCCCAGTCAGCCGGACTGAAAGACACAAAAACTCCTTTGTTGTGAGGGCCATCAAAGACCTAAAAAATTCATGCTAAGGCCCATATTTCTTGTTGTCTACGTCATTTTATTCATATTATGTACATTTTAACACTGTATGTCCATTATATAATCCTTGTAATTTTACCATTTTTACTATACTAGTATTTTAATGAATCAATTATGTAACGTAATATCTTTTATTGTAAATCAACGCAATTCAGTCTAAGGACTGCCAAGTTGATGAATAAAGTTTGATTTGATTTTATGGAAATTGTCCAGCTTTTAAGGCAGTGTAGGGTATATTTTGGCAAGTGATTTAATTTTTCCTTGCCTGGATAGAAAGAAAACCTTTTTTGAGACTGCCTGCTTTATTTAAAAGGCCACATAAAGTTTCATTAAGGGCTCAATTTGGCAATTAGCCACTGGTAAGCGAATCTACCAAAAGTGTTTTCCGTAATAAGACTTAGTATTTGAGGTAAAATTTGGGTCTAAGACTTAGTATTTGAGATAAACTTTTGATGTTTGATGCAACAGGAAATTACCTCACAGGTTGCCAGCGTGCAAGGTATAATTTCAATCCATGCAGGTGCATAGATGTTTTAGGCCTGGTAAGCTAGTATGTCAAGGTCAAGCATACATGTACATGTAGCTATTCCCATTGGTCCTAAATCTACAGGGGCCTTTTGAATCAGTGAAAACCTCCTTTGTTTGAGTCCCAGGATTGGCAGTGTGCCATCCTGTAGAGTAGGAGTATAAGTTAACTTGTTAGGTTCCCACTTCCTGTTCTGTTGCCCCGCGGAGAACTGTCACAGTGTTGGCTTTGATAAAATTGAAGAGAACTTTCTTTCAAGGAACCGCGAAAAATGTACAAAGTACAGAATGATGTTTTATTTCTCTTGTTGGTGATGAACATGAGTATGTTACTTTGCTAGGCCCTTTGTTAGACCCTGTTATAAAACGGGTGTTACCAGTAGTGCTAGGCTGCAGCAATGGTGAAGCTTGCTCAGTCCGGCGAGAAATTGCATCTTTTTATGGGCAGATATTACATCTGGACTTGATGTGTATCTACTGAAGGGTGAGGCTGGTGCCCATACAATGTACTTAGGAAAATTAGGACTGTATTTTTAGTCTCGTACATGTATTGTATAATGGTGGTAGTTATGGTTTAAAGGTAAGCAATCCCCTTCAAATAGGCCATACCATCTTGATTTGTCAGTTCTTCAATTTCCTGGAGTATTAAAAGATCAACCTGAAATCCTTCATACACCAAGTTTGAAATTGTGAAATGCAGTCTGATAGTTCTAGCCCTCAGTTTTCGTCTTGTCCTCTCGATGGGATTTTACTAAGCTATCCTAGAACCAGGAAAATAAGTTTGTGTGGCCTTAGGTGAAGCGGGGCCTCGTAATGAGGTTTGACAGTCTGTACTTTGGTTGGGAGAATGCCCTACATTCGCCTCAGTTGACTCTCATCCTGGAGCAAACAAGACACAAACTCAAGATATGGGGAAGGCATGTAACAAGAAGCCGTGAGAAAGCCAAAGTCAGAACCTAACTTTCTTATAAGGGTCAGCTCTTGGTTGGTGCCACTCAGGACATATTTGGCAGGTATTCAGCTTGCAAACAGCTGCTAAAATGTGCTCCATGGGAAGGCTTACAACTGCACCTTTCTGGCAAGCTTGGGGATACAGAATTGTATTGCATAATTAATATTAAGGTATAATAGATGGTCGCAATGTTATTAGATATTTCGTGCATGATACAGACAGACCTTGAGTTATGTCTACAATGTATATTGGTGTACAATGTGTGTTGATAAATAATTCTAAAGCAGGAACTAGGACACGCAATGTGGAATACAACATAATGCTACTTTTATCACCAGACACAAATACAATGTAATATACACTTATGCATGTAATCATTTTTGAATTGGCCTACATACATGTAGATGGTTATATTTAAGACATAATAATCTAATTTACAGTTGTTGAATCACAGTCAGCATCTGTATGGAAAGAATAGGAATTTATTCCATGTTTTACATAATATATAATTTCTGCTGCTTGGTCATCTAGTATTTGATGTGTGGGGCAATCAATTCACAGAAATATAAAAGATGCTGCACAGGGCATGATTCGTATTTCATTGGGGCAAAGGGGCAAGGTCGTGCTAAATGAGGCATAGAATGGACACTGGGAACAAGAAGGTTTCTTTGTGGTCCGTTGAACCATGGAGAAAGGTTCAATCTCGAGCAATTGTCACTGACGTGTGCCTTTGTTGATTAGGAGAGGGAACATGGATGGATTGTTGGGAGAGAGGCATGGGTATCATTTCAATTTGTGGTCACTGGGTGAGGTCTGAAGACTGGCGCTGTGTTAATCATGGCCCACGCCACAGTGCAGGAAACATGCATTCCCTTTTTAATAACAAAATAACATGGAAGCTTCCTTTGCAATCTCAATGATTAACTTCTCTAGGCACATACCTACCTGTACCTACCTAGATTATGTTTCTTAAAATAAATTCATTGTGATCATTTCCACAATTGTTCATTTTACCATCTGCATTTATGTAAAAAAAGAAGTCCAAATCTTCATTGCTGTACTGACCAATGTTGTGTCTCTCTGTTGTATCTGCAGGTATAATAGCAAACGGAGACTTTACATCACCCAGGGATAGCTAGCACCAGCTAAAATGGACTGGTCCATTCGGCAGCTACTAGTAGTGGTGATTTGCTGCTTTTGTTCTTCTGTTCGCTCCGAAGAATGGAGTTTGACAAACCTTCCACCAGAAAGTGAGTATTTGCTTGATCTATGTTTAATTTCTAGATATACGATATCCAAATGAAGATGATGATAATGATAAAGTAAACAAGGCTGCTAATGCTATGTTCATTGAAATCAAGGAGGACTTTCAATGATCTGCCAAGGAGACACAGGATTGAATCTGCAGGACAGAAGCAGTTGGATGTCTGCCATCAAGCCTCAGCATCCAAACTGCAAGCACAAACTGGCCCTTAAAACCTGACATTAAAATGGATAGTTGTCATACATGTAGTGTCAGAGTGAGCGAGCTTGAAGTTTAGTCTAGACTCTATAACCCTCCCACTGTCAGGGCAGATGAGACCAGGCATCCTACAGGGTAGTGGGGAGACAGAGAAAAATGTCAGGTTCATCAATTAAGAAGAACGAGACACAATTGAACCTGTGTGGGCACATTCCCAGCTGTGCAGCAGGAAGAAAGCCCAATAGACTCTTTCTTGCATCCTATTTCTTCAGCAAGTGATGAACTTCTGTTGTTTATTCCAGCAATAGGAGGTGTGAAAGTCAGCTGGGCGGATGGTGAAGATTTTAGTTTCTACTTTTTTCCCTTCTGATTACAAAAGGCCTTGCCTGTAGGTCCGATTAACCGGATATGAAGCATGTCAAATCGATGTGGAGGGAAGAGTTTTCGACTTCTGTTGACGTCATGTGGGAAGAATTTGACCAGTTGCCAGAGTGGCTCAGACCTACTGACTGCATCTTTACATAGCGATTGTCCCACCCTGTACAACAAGCATGTACATGTACTGTGCTTGCACCATTATAGTTAACCACCCCTGTAGTAGTAGTAGTAGTAGTAGTAGTAGAGACAGTAGTCCTCCCAGTCATTTAGATGGACCACAAACTTGTTCTTTTACACAGATCAAGTTTGGAAAATTTATAAAGTGAAAAGAAAAAGAAACATTCACTTTGCCACTTTTTCAAATGTTCAGCTTGATAATAATTTATTGCAAGATAAGCACGACTGAACTTCATGTGCAAGATAAAAGATGAAGGCATAAAAATAAACATGTCCATCTAGGTGACTTTATCATGATTTCTACAGATTAATATTCATCACTTCAGTCTGCCATTGCATTTTGTTCAGTATGTACATGTATGTAGGTGTAAACCACCATTGCCATTGTTTTGGCATCTACTTAATCCTCTCTTTACAGGATTTCTCAGGAATTCCTTTTCCAATACATGTAGAAGTAGACGTTTCGATGCTCCAATTGTGTCTTCTCTCAAGAAGAGATGTGGAGCAAATGTTTTTTGTGCATGTTTCGAACACAGTTGTGTAATGTATGATGTCTGTAACCATTTCATCCTTAGTGCACTTGTATGTGTGCAGTAGTGATGCCTCTTTTATGTGGCGATTTATATAAACTGCCACCATTTTCCTTGTGAATGACATGACTTGACTTTCTCATCACGATGTTCTTTTCTACCACCCCCTATTCTGTTTCTTACCTCCGTTTCGTCCTTTCGTTGTCCGTTATTTCCTCCCCTCTTTCTCACGCCTTATCGCGTAACTTCTCGGACCTTCAGTCAACCTGGATGGTGGGTACCTTTCGGACAGTCTTTTCTCTTGCACTTTCAGCTGTTGTTATTGTTTGGTACAGTGTTTTTTAAGTACATTGTACATGTATTGTGGCTTCTGCTCTCAAGCGTATATGCTTTGTGTGGCATGCCACCTGTACAGTCACATGTATGTTTTATTGTAATTGAAAGGAAAGGTATACTAAGTGTGAACAGGATTGGTACAGGTCTACTAGGCATTCTAACAAAATTAGAAAATATTGTCAACTATGACTCATGGCTGATTTTGAAGAATTCCTATTGCCATATTTCCACAACCTTCATTTCGGAGATCAAATATTTTGGTTGGAATACCTGGTACAAGAAAGACAATCTTTATTTTTGTATAGTTGTTATTGTTATGTATACTATAATCAGTTAATATTATATTATGATTTTGAAGTTATATTTGTTTTAGGAACTTGTGCGTCCGATTTATCTTTCTTGTTTTGTAAATGATTTTGAGTTCTTTGATTGCAGGACTACGTCGAAATATCACCTCAATTTATTTTGAAGAGGGCAGAGTTTTGCCTGGACAGTTGAGCCATCTAAGGCATTACAAACATCGTATAAGAAAACATGGTACCCAAATTTATTGTATCAGCTTCCCTCTTCTCTGGGTGTGAAGGTATTTCTTCCTCAATCTCCAGCTTTTCTTATGAGAACTATGAAAATAATGAAAAGAGGTGCAAACACTCAGTAATAAGTTCCATGATCTTCTTTAATTTTCCTTCTTCTTGTCTCAAAATCTTGGTGAAATGTTGTCACGTGGTCGCTATCTGGCATAAAATATTCTGGAATTGCAGAAAAATCCCCATGTTAATTTTCAATTTCTTACTTTGGTATTAAATCAAGACTCTGAAATAACAGACCGTTATGGTGTATTGGCAACTGTATGACTAAGAGCAGCTAAACTGACATGTTTACACCAGAGGAAACTAACATTCTATTCAATCATATGATTCATGAAAAAGTAACACAAAAGAATCAAAAGACATTTAGAAAAGCCTCCTTCATGAAGTCCAACCAAATTTTCTGACAAAAATTGCCCCTTTCAGCAGCTAACAAAGTATAGTAATTGTCTATACCTTTAATGATGACTTTGTACTAAATTTTTTTTACGTTTTGCTGTCACAGTTCCAATGCCACCAGTCATCACCAAACAGGCACCCAGGAAACACATAGTAGATCACAGAGAACTCATCGTCATAGACTGTGAAGCAACTGGCAGCCCTGAAATAAGGTAAGGGAACAGATTAGGATTTTATCTTTTACTAAGGGTTCAACATATGGCCAATGCCAGTTTTCAATGTATGCTGAGGGGAAGACAAAGATAAATAAAAAGGACAAAATGCAACATAATGAAAGTAATATAACATTACATTAAAAGTTTTGCGAGAGACGAGGTAAAATAAATATACAAATGAAAAATATGATGGAGAAATAGAATGGAAAATTTCTAGAAAGTTTAATCCATTGCCCTTGAGAAGGCAAACGGGTCCGTAAACAAACTAGCAACTCAGAACTACATGCAAATTTTGTTTCAAGCTCTGCTCCTATTTATTGTGCAGGTATAGTTGGCTGAAGAATGGACGTGAGCTGGACGTGGATAGCGACCCCCGCATTGCCTGGTTGTCTGCGCCCAACTCCGGTACCATCACTATCGAACTGGACGCAGACAACCCCGATACGACATACGAGGGTATGTACCAGTGCAGGGCTGCCAACCACAGGGGAACAGCCGTCACCAATGAGATTGAAGTCATCATCGCAAGTAGGTACTCTTTCTAATGTACATGCTCTTCTGTGTTACTGTGTTGGTGGAACCGCTTTTTTTGTTAGGGTTGGGGGAGAACACATTTTTAAGCCCTGGATACTGGATTGTAAATCTAAATTAGCACTAAAACTTGTAAATCTAGCAGTTTTTGTAGGCTGGTATTATATGTGTAAGAGATGTGTGGGTACAGATTGGTGGGGCCATTGTAACTTTTAGCATGGGATAACAATTGGTCATCATCTTAAGTCTCTCAACCCTCTTTTCTCAGCTTCTCCGCTGTTCGCATTCACTGAAGACAAGGAGATCACCGTCCCTGTGGGAGCCCACCATGTTCTGGAGTGCCTCTCCATCCTGGGCGAGGCCATCCCACCTCCCAACATCTACTGGGCCAAGGCCAATCCAGGGCCAAGGTCAAGGCGCATCGATCTGACCGAGAGAATCTCCATCGATGCCGAGAACAACCTGATATTTGCCAATGTTGAGGAGGCGGATGCAGGGCAGTATTCCTGCCGAGTGGAGTACTCTAAACTGGGCACCATCCGGATTGCCAACACCCTAACCTTGATTGTTGAGACAGGTTTGTTTGAGCCTTTGTTTATTCATGATTAGTACTCAGATCAGCATACTGCTACTCAACCGGTTGTCTCTTAAACTGTGTTCTCAGTTTGTTATTTTGACGTTTTGAAAAAAAAAGGTTTTGAAAACTTCCTTTTTCTAAATCACAGCACCACCACGTGCACCATCCTTGCTGAAGCGTGACATCAATGTGCCACCTGTGAACAGGGGGGAAGATCTGACATTGAGATGCATCGCAGAGGGCCTGTGAGTACCGAGTATATTACCTACTTCCAGGTACAGATGTATTTGGGGGATCGAACTGTGGGATTGTGTACAATGTATTTCCAACAGAGAGATTTCTCTCTGTCTTCGTGTAATATCGAACACCGTCAGTGGTCAGCTCTTGCCAAAGACCGAGCTGCTTGGCGACATACAGTTCTTGATTCAGTCTCTGCCTTCGAGGGGAGACGCAGAACTGCCCTCAAAGAGAAACGGGACAAGAGGAAGAACCGGACCGCCACGGCTCCAGCACCAGATCCGTCACTTACCTGCAGCCACTGTGGCCGAGTATGCCTGTCACGAATCGGCCTTGTCAGCCACCAGCGGGCGTGCAGCAGGAGAGGAAAGGGTCCCTGAGATCTTCGGCAACGAAGCCAAGCCAAGAAAAAAAATCTCCAACAGAGTAAGTTGACAGCACACGGGAGTGGTGAAGATTGACGGGCAGAATGTGGCCAGGAGTCAGCAGGAATTCTTCTTCTTTTCTTCTTCTTCACCGCTTAGCAGCGTACTCGCCGAGGCGGGCCGTCATTTTCCTCCATTCTGTTCTGTTTCCAGCTGCGCGTTGCACCCCCTCCCAGGTGCAACCCAAAGCTGCAACATCCCGTTCTACTGTCCGTCTCCAAGTCATCTTTTGACCGCCCGTTTTCCTCTTGCCCGACGGACACCAGGTCAAGACTATCTTTCGCAGCCTTTGTCTAGGCAGCAGGAATTAGAGGTTGACAGGGGGTATTCAGGAAGGCTATAAAAACTACTGGTCAATATCATACAGTATCCCTATGTGGAAAGGACTTTGATGACATATCCTTTCCAATAGGCCAACTCCCGAGGTTAGATGGAGAAGAACATCTGGAGGAAATCTTCCTGCCGACCGTGCCAAAGTCATGGGAACGACACTCATCATTAAGGAAGTGGTAGAGGGAGATGCAGGAAGCTACGAGTGCACGGCCTCCAACTATATGGGGAAGGACACTAAGGAAGTGATGGTGACTGTGAATGGTGAGTGGATTTCATCTGTTTTTCTTTGTGCATAGCATTGCTCACTTATTTGCATTTGGTAGAATGCAGCAGAAAGCATAAAATACATAAAAGACTGTTTAAAGTTAAGACTTTTGATCCAACACAAAAATTCTCTCACCTAGAGCTTTCGACCAGTCACTCTGGTCTTCCTCAGTAGACTGACCCAGTGAAGCTTGTCACGTGACTTCTTTGAAGTGTGACGTCAACACTGGGTCAAAGGTATCTGGTAGACGATGTCGGCCCCCGTCGCGGTTCAATGTAGGGTGATGGGCCCTGATGTAAGTCTGCTGAGGAAGACCAGAGTGACTGGTCGAAAGCTCTAGGTGAGAGAATTTTTGTGTTGGATCAAAAGTCTTAACTTTAAAGATGTAACTACTAACACAGATGAACTTTCATGATAATACATAAAACTCTGTTTCTTGCGTTCAGCTGCACCCTACTGGAAGACTGAGCCCGGGGGACAGATGCTTGCACCAGGCGATGATGCAACCATTTTGTGTGAAGCAGCTGGCACGCCCACCCCAGAGGTCAGCTGGAAACGCAACGGAGAACCCCTCAGAGGTATGGTCAACTTTCCATCTTCACTTTTACTTTTACCATGGTTACCCGAGTCTGCCTGAGCATGGAATGGTGATGCTTCGGGTGCCGGAAAATACCTGAATTGCTTTGGTTGCGTATTGATTCTATCTTTTCACGTCACGTCAAAGACATTGATGGTTGCCATCTTCATCCTTTTGGAACTGCTGTAGTTACAGGTTTCTGTAGATCTAAAGATGGTGGAAAAGTGGTTTGAAAAAGGGTGTTGAGAAAGTTATGTAGTCTACGGTGGTATTGCTAATTTGCTACAAACAGCCTTGCAAGCACTTTCCTGACTGAGTCTTCAGACTTGCTTCCAAGGCAGTTTGTACAAATGTAGCATGTATACTTCTAAGGCACAACTTCTTCAAAGCACTTTCATAGTAGCACAGCTCATGGGAGCACAAACAAAGTACGAAAAGTACTACCTCATTCAAACCAGGCAGTTCTTTTCTTGGGACTTAAACAAAACTACATTGTACAAAATAAAGACGCCATTGATGCTGATAAAGCATCACTTCTGCAATAACTGTGATAGCATGGAAATCAAATTCATGATAGCTGTTGGAAAGCAACAGGTTGTTGAAAGTTTTCTTCTCAATAGATGCGTTTGTGATGTTTTGATACCACTTTGTGTCAATCATACAGCTAAACATGGATTGGTCCGCGATCATCACTTTGAGGAAAAACTTCAAGGTGAGCTTACTTGAAATTTGTCTGTGTCTTTCCTGCATGAGGTCTTCATGATTTCTGTGAACAGTGCCTTCCAACAATTTCCACCTCATTTCTATTCTTTTTCATTGGCAAGTAAATTTGATCCGATCTAGGAAAGAAGCTGGTCTTACAAACATGTCTGTCTTCTCTGTGTCACCTCAAATCAGGAGCTTCGCCGTTCAAATCACTGTTTCATGTGACCTCTGTGCTCTCACGTTCTCGGCAAGCTCCACCCTGTCTGTGACGTCCTGTCGTTTTCATTTTTGAGCCAACCACGTAATCTGTCACGGTCTATTTCCATTGGCAGCCATTTTCTGTCAAGACCAGCTGTCCATGCATGAGAGCTTGATTTTCCTGGATCACTGCCTCTGTCTGCTTCACTGCTAATTTCTGTCTTCTTGCCAGGCAGGCCTAATGCTCTGGCTTATCCTAACAACCTAAGTGTAAAAAAAACCCTTTCCTTTCCCAATTTCAGATCAGCCAAACCGCCGTGTTTCTGGCACCACGCTGTCCCTGTTGGATCTGGTGAAAGACGACAGTGGAGTGTACCAGTGCATCGCACGCAACAACCTCGGCACAAGGATCACCAATGCCTACATCAATGTCGTTGGTACGTCACTCCTCAATTATCTTTGCAAGCTCTGTTGGTCATCTGTGTAGTTTCCTGCCCTGCTTTCCCCTACTAGAACTCTGTAACCGACAGAAAATACCCGGTAGTTAGTCAGTCAGCTACATTAGTGTGCTGACTGGTTGTCAAATCATCAAATACGTTCCCGTAAATAATTTCATCAGGTTGGAAGATACTTAGGATACAGAGTTTTCTTGTTACACAACCAAAAAGTTTCTCACCAGCTTACGTTTCGATGTCTATCAGACACCTTCCTCAGAGCTTCTGACTGGAGTTCTGCAACTCTCCGCTATTTATCGCCAAACTAGGTGGCGCTTTTGCGGCGAGAATGCAGTCCCAAACGTGGCTGAGCTTGTATCCCCCCTCGTCCCGGTTCATCACTGGGGTTGACTTCCTTATCCAGACTGCTTCTTTAATCCATCTGATTCTCCTGTTGTCTTCTCTATCTATGACCCTGACTCCCTCCCAGTCTATCACACTAAATAGACATCGAAACGTGAGCAGGTGAGAAACTTTTTGGTTGTGTAACAAGAAAACTCTGTATCCTATCAAATATGTTGATTATGTCTTTGTGGACTTCAGGACAGACATGAAAAAGGGTCGAAATACATGTAATTTTGACTCCTTTCTTTCCCATGTTTTTGCTCTTCTAACTGAAGTTGAAATGGCAAAGAAATGCCAACAAATTTTGTGTATAGTGGCGCAAGGCTTGATGTTTGACAGTTCTGTCTGAAAATGGTGGTGAATCTATTGGTTTCCCAATGAGGTCAAGAAATTTTGATGTACACTAAGTAGATGTTTAACATGTTGATGAATCCCCCCACAGAACTGCGACCAAGAATGCTGACACCAGCAAACAAGAAGTACGCCTACGTCCAGGACCAGGATGCGCAGCTCGACTGCCTGTCCTTCGGCTCCCCCAAGCCTACGACCTCTTGGTAATAATAATAAATGGTTTTATTGGCCAAACATTACCCATGCAATTGCAGCCTTATAGTGCTGAATTGATGCAGGGTTTGCAATCAGATACAGTACAATGGTAATAATACACATAATAATACACATAATACACATGATACATATTTGTTCCACATTTTTTGTGGAACTGCCGCAAGGGTCTGGTGCGGCTGCCATTCGGCGCCACAAGGTGACCTCAATACGGCTTTCCCCAACCGAAGTTAGGTCCCCATTCACACCTGGGTGGAGTGAGGAAAGTCGTGTAAAGTGCCTTTCCCAAGGGCACAACGTCGGGGCGCATGTTCAGACATGCCCCCGGTACGACTCGGAATCGAACCCGGGTCTCCGGGTTCACAGTCATGATCAGATGATCTTGTACTACGCCACCCGACGCCACAAGTGTATGTGCAATTGTGTAAAGCTGTTGGAGTTTAGGTCACATCAATTGATGTTCACCTATTTTCTGGGTTCCCAGACATCTTGTGGTAAAAATTCAACAAGAGGTCAATATGAAAACATACGGCCTGGAACTCAAGAACAGAAAAGTTAATATACATGTATGAGTGATATTCAAGTAGTCCCTGTAGTCATGTAAAGAACAGTGTTGTGAATGGTGTATGTTTTAGAAATATGAGTTAAACTTACTACTGTAGATATTAGACCTTCATTTGTTCATTCCATATGTTTGTTACACCTGTACAGGTATAAGGGCAGATTCTTGTAGGAGATCGTTACCAGGTCCTGAGTAACGGC